CGGGAATCGCTCCTGGTTAAAAAACTGGTTCACAGGGATATGCATCTCTTCTAGTTAAGAGAAGGGAATCAGAACTGCTTTTCATGCGGGAACAGGTTTTCTTCGGGCTAACTACAAAATCTCAGCTTATTTCACTCCTTGACATTGTCAAAGCGCATTTTGTAAAGATAACTTTTTCCGCTTTATGAGCTTTTTTTATATTCTATTCCATTAATGTTTAACCTCCCTCAAAAAGCCAAGTAATATAAATGCTGTTGTTAAAAAAAGCGTTTTACTTGTTTACGTGAATTCGCTACCCAAAGATCACTATGCTGAAAGGACAGGGCAAAATTTCCAGGAGAGAGGCATTAATTTTTTTTCCCACGAGGTTACAAAGAGAAAATGCAATGATTATTATTAATGTAACCATCAGGTATACTCTACCCACGAGTTTACGGACAGCAAATGCAGTGATTATTATTAATGTAGCCATCGGGTATATTCTACCCACGAGGTTACAAAGAGAAATGCAATGATTATTATTAACGTAACCTTCAGGTATGTTCTACCCACGAGGTTACAGAGAGCAAATGTAGTGATTATTATTAAATGTAACCGTCGGGTATATTCTACCCACGAGGTTACAAAGAGAAAATGCAATGATTATTATTAACGTAACCGTCAGGTATATTCTACCCACGAGGTTACAAAGAGAAAATGCAAAGATTATTATTAACGTAACCTTCAGGTATGTTCTACCCACGAGGTTACAGAGAGCCTGCAAATGCAGTGACAATTATTAGATTTTAGTGCAACTATCAGGTTGAGTTCCTCCATTAAAAGAGTTTTTTTCTAGGGTTAAACAAGTTTGGCTTTCATGAGTTTCAAGGTGCAAGAAATTATCAGTATAATTATAGCACACAAACATTGTCATCTAATTTTTCGCACGTAGCCGGAATAAGCCAAGAAATGAAGCATATATAACGAAAAACCGTTCTCAGATGATCTCCATATTAAATAAATTATACTAAACGTTGCGAAAGAAATTATTGTTCGTATCCGTCTTATCCATCGTAAAAGCGAGGGGTCATCGCATGACATCCGGTATATTAAACAGAGGTAATACTCACGGGTTTCACGAGTTGTATGCACTATTTTTCGCCGAGAAACAAATTTAAACTTCAATTCTTACCTTACAGTAGTCCGTTCTTTTACCTTGCATTCGACAACAAATCTGTTAAAGGCGAACAAAGCGATTCCGGCACTCTTCTTTATGATGAGTAGCAAGCCGCAGGAACTGAAGCCGCTTGACTGAAGTAAAATCCACCGATATGCACGGCATTCTCACTACAAGTATAAACAAACGTTGCGAGGAAAAAAGACGAGGAGAAAAAAATGTCAGATCTTCGCCTTGGTAATGTATTCCAGCTACCATGCCGGCGTATCTCCAGAAGGTGGAATCGAAGTGGGACAAACCTTGTGATTTTTTTTAGACGCCCTTTGCGCGCAAACTAATTTATTCTGGCGCGAAATGAAGATTAACAATAGGTATACTGAAATCTAATCCACGACAAGAAGATTTTCGCACTGTAGCGCGACATATTAAATGCCTATTTTTACAAGTACGCGGTGAAAGTGGTCCACTAGTTTAACTTTTTTAAGATGAATTTACTCCACAAAGGCAAAATGAATGTTTTATCTCTATGTTGTTTACGTGCCGGATTGGAAGGCAGAAGTAAATTCATCATACAGACCCCATCAAAATGAAAGTACACGAATGAAACGGAATAAGTCTGGAACGGTTTAGTTTCTACTCGGCAGCTTCTTTGCTTTTATAACAAAAATTTAATGTTGCAGTCTGTTTTAAACGTTGGCATATCAACGCGCACAGTCACTGAATGAAAACAACAGTCACGATCACGTTCTTCGAAACCGACCAGACTCGCGCGACCTACCACTGTTATGGCCAGCAATTATCCTGAAGGTGTTAATGTTCCCGTGATAGTCTTCGCACTGAAGGTGTAAATGGTAAACCGAACGGTCGCTTTGATCATCAGAAAGACCTGTCAACTTTGATGATTTAACTGATTAAATTACGGGACAGAAATTTTACTCCTTGCGGCTCCTCGTGCAGGGAACGCAGAGATCAGACCATTGCATCATGGAAAATTCTCAATCAGACTGTCATCGTAAAAAGTGGTCGCGGTCGCTTACTGGATGTGGATGTGTTCGTTTACAGGAGGTTCCAACTACAAGCGCCTTGACTTGATAATATATTTTGTGTTTTGAATAAGTGATCGCTTATTGGGAAGTGGTCACTTAAGTTGGGTGGTCCCACGTAGGTTCGACTGTGCCTCGTTAAGCGAAAATTTGTTAAAATGTAAGAGAAATCCTTAAATTGTAATACAGTGGAAGCTGTCGTACGAGGGCGCCCTCGGGACGAGAAAAAGGTGTCCTTAACTGGATGTGGCCGCTTACGAGAATGAATCTCCGATGCAGCATAGTTATGCAAGTGGAATTCAGCCACTTTAAAAGTGGTGTAAAGGTTAGATAGCTGCTTACGGAAGCTCCTCCCAGCTACAAATTAACACTGGTAATAGCCAGAAACTGTTCTTTAGTGTATGGTTACGCTGATGTTCTTGCCTTGTTGTAATTTAGGTAAAAGCATACAATTCAGTTTGTATTTTCAAGTGTAACCGGACGAGTATGTCAAAAAACGGTAACTCTGAAAAGGATATATAAGAATGATTCATAACAGTGACAAACAGCCATATGACTGTGGACATGATATTAAAAAAAAAACAGCATTCAGAGGCGGATAAGATTTCTCTCGAGTGTCTGCTTAGGAGAGCTTTAAATCAAAGCTAACATCTAATTCGCCGGTAAACCCTTTAAGTGTCCGCGGCCGCCTACGGGAATGTAAAAATCAAGAGTTTGTGTGGGAGTTGAAACGGGATTTTGTGATGGCAGTCGTAAGTAGAGCTATTCGCTATATACGAGAGTGTCCGTTAAGAGAACTTAATCTACTGTATGAATCCGCAAATGACAGCTTAAATGAGAAGTGAATATAGTGTATTAGTCTGTGTTCAAGAAACTGTTCTCTTACACCTTCCTTATAGCCAAAGAAGTCTAGCCGACTTTTTTTGCAATGTATTAGTGCCCCCTTTTGGGTCTTTTGTATTCCTCAGAAGTTTTTCCTCAACACGTTTATAAACGGTTATTATTACATTTTTGTAGTCAATAATATACCCAGATACAGATACCAACCTGTATAGTTGTAAGACTACGAGGATTAAAATACAACTAAGTAAGTAATTATACCCATTGGCAAGTCATTAATTGTCTAAAAATTGCACGGCACGGTCTGACTACAAAAAGGGCTATTATGGACCATTATTATCATGGTAATTAATATCAACATCGAATAAACTCAAAATTTCAAGTAACACGATTTTCACGACCTATTTTCAACACACCAGTTATAACAGGATATTGGCGCGTACAACAATAGATAGCGTATTCCGCATTCCGGAGTCCGGTAGTCCGGCGTCACAGATTCCATCTTTTTGGCAGAGTCTAAAGTCAAAGATGGAGGGTGTTCTAGCAGGTGGTTGTTTTCTGTAGATATAGACGGATTGTCAGTGATCCTTTTTGTCCTTTGAGAATGATTTTGCTCTTTCTGACTACAACTTATTTCAAAGACTTCGAATGTTCGGTGAAAAGCCGACACTTTTAATTCTGCAATTGTTAGGCATAGAAATTTCATTGTTAAAAGCATTTGTATTTAGTGCCAGGCGTCCGCGCGCCTAAGGACTGGAAACCATATATGACGTTTTGATGACGTAAGAGAAAAACCATGTGCGAAAGAAAGCTAGAAAAGTAATCGGCGTTACGAACTCGAGAGTTGTAAAAGTTAAGGAAATTTATGAGCAAAATACACGTGGGATACTCTCAAGCAGTGTTTATATCCTGTGTAACATTCTGGGGGCCTGTCCGGGAGGATTCATCGAAGGAATTAGATGCAGTACAAGTTTCAATGGTCGACGAACGTTGTGTGCTAGGATTTGTGTGGATCGCTGTCCAAGATATTTATTTTGGTCTTGATTTGGCGAGCAGGAAACAGTGGTTTGTAGCGTAGGCGGACATTTGGTGTGAACAGCTAGTCAAGAGATAGTGGAACGCAGCTTTGAGGCCAGGAAAGGTATGAATGTTGTTTTGTTGGATGCTATGTGGGTTTTGTGATCGTGTTAATTAGAAGCAAGATGGCGGAGGAAAGCCTCATTCTTTTAGACAAGAAAATATTGTCGATGGACTTGAGCGCTTTAACTGAATTTGCTTTGCATGTTAAAGTGGAAAAGTCGGTAGTAGAGGGCAAGGGGAAATTAAGTGTTATTCGGTCCATCAGGCGCAAAATTGAGGATTCAGTTGATGCTCTGACCGGCGATGACCAAAATGATTATGATGACGGGTTAATGGCACACTTGGGTCCTCCGCCACTCGAGGGAATGGAAGATAAGTATGGGGAAGAAGGATTACAAAACGAAAACGACCTAAAGAAGCTCAAAGAAGAACTAGGTGATTTAGAATCTAAGCAGCAATTAGTGGAGGAGAAACTAGCCAAAATGCAGAAAGAAAAGCTGACTGGCACAGTAAAGGAAGAAGAGACAATCAAGTTTCCTGTAAAGGGGGTTGAGCAGAGCATATTCCGTAGAGATTTTAAAATACAGGGAGTGGTAGGCGACCCCGGTCAGAAAGAAAAGCTGGGTTACCAAGCTCTAGTATCACAAATAGAAGCAGGGCTTACCAAGGGATACTCCGATAAAGAAGTTGTTAGTGCCGTAGTTCGTGCTGTACAGCCAGGTCTACAACTAAGAAGCTATTTAGAGACCATGGTTGACCTCACCCTACCAAGGTTGCGTAAAATTCTTCGCTTCCATTTTCATGAAAGAAATGCCACAGAACTTTATTAGCTTTTAACAAATATTGCCCAGCAGCCTAATGAAGATCCTCAGTCATTTTTGATGAGATCACTAACCGTTAGACAGAAAATTATTAGTGCTTCAAAAGAGTCGGACAGTGGGATTAAGTATGACGCCTCTTCAGTACAAAGTTTGTTCCTGCATGCCGTGGAAACAGGTCTTGCTGACGAAACCATTCGTGCAAAAATAAGGCCACTCACTCAGAACCCAAAGGTCGCAGATGAAGACCTCATTGGAGCTATGAGCCTAGCCATATCTGCAGAAGCAGAGCGAAGTAATAAGTTCAATCTTGCCAGCAAGGGGAAATCTGTAAAGGTGTCCGCTATGGAAAGTGCAGCTGATTCTAATACAAAGAAAGAGCTACAGAAGGACCAGCAGGTTCTAGCTACACTAAAAGCTGTGCAAGCAGAGTTGGCTACCATGAAGGCAGAAGTTAAAAACCTGCGTGAAGCAGCAAGCAACCAGAAGGCAGACCCTATGATGCCTAGTCATGCTGGGAATGGAGTGAGAACTGGAGCAAGGCCACTTGGTTGCCAAGAGTGTAGGAGGAAGAGGGAAGGTGAGCGATGCCCACATTGCTACCTCTGTGGTGGCTTGTACCATATTGCACGCTACTGTCAGTCAAGGCCCAGAAATTATCCGGGAAACGCACCCAGGCTACCCCCGCGGGACAGGGAGTAGCCTCACCAGAAAAAGAGAAGTCCCACCAGTGTAGTGGTTGCCTGACGTTTGATTGTCACACACAATTATTACAGTGTTCAGGGTGCCAGTCTGTTCGGTATTGTTCTGTTCGTTGTCAGAAGGCCCATTGGCCAAAACACAAAGTGTTGTGCAAAGCAATCAAGAAACTCTCGGAGAGAGGATCTTTTAAAGAAAAGGGATTAGGAGATGCCCAAGATAGTGGTGTGTATGCTAGCCACATTTCACCAAGACAACAGGAGCGCATAGCCAAACTGGTGGGAAAGAAGTGTTCAGTGAAGTGCTACCTGGACGAGAAGCCTACAGAAGCTTTATGGGACACAGGGGCCCAAGTATCAATTGTTTCAGCAGACTTTCTGAAGAGCCAACTACCAGCAGTCCAAATAAGGGATATTGAACAGTTACTTGGCACAGATGGATTCATAAACTTGCAAGCAGCAAATGGAACAGATATTCCTTACTGCGGGTGGGCAGAGATTAGTGTACGATTAGCAAATGAAAAGGAGACGGAAGTAAGAGTTCCATTCTTAATAACAAGGGAGAACATTGACCAACCTATCATTGGTTTTAATGTTATAGAACTAATGGTCTGGAACACTGAAGAGGAAAATGATGATGTTCTGCTTAACGGGATGTCGAAAAGCTTTAAACTAAGCAAAAGCGGTGACACACAAGTATTGATCAGCCTTATCCGTACTTCTAATTCTGATGAACTTTGTCAAGTTAAATCTTCAAAGAAGCCACAGATTCTCCCTGCGGGGCAGACTGTTCACCTACCGTGTCGTGCTAACACTGGACCAATCCACCGTAAGACGCCTGTCCTGTTTGAGCCTGACGAGCTGGCTACTTGGCCTTCAGGATCAGTACATGAATCCCTTACCACTGTGAAGGAGGGCAATGCAACCATTCTATCAGTTACAGTAACCAACAACACTAACCACAACACCACCAGGCCTGGAAGAGTTGTTTTTTGGGGCGCTTTCAGCTTGTACGATCAGTGACTCCTGTTGAAGTCAGGTTTAAGGATCCTGAGACACCAACTCCATGTGAGAGACCTCCCTGTAAACAAGACGCACCTGCCGAGCAAATTGAGAGCAACGTGTCTTGGTTACCTGAAGTTGATTTGAGCGGACTGACGGAAGAACAAAAGGAGCAGGCGAGGCAGTTGTTGGTTGAAGAAGCAGATGCATTCGCAATGAGTGATGATGACGTTGGCTGCGTTCCCGAACTACAGATGGACATTGGATTGACTAGCGATCAGCCAGTGCAGAAGAATTACATTTCCATACCCCGTCCACTCTACCCGGAAGTGAAAGGTTATATCGAGGACTTACTCAACCGAGGCTTTATCCGGAAGTCCAAGTCACCATTCTCAAGTAGTGTTGTCTGTGTTCGCAAGAAAGATGGTGCAATGAGGTTATGCATAGACTACAGAGAATTAAATAAGAAGACGGTGCCTGATCGGCATCCCATTCCTCGAATCCAAGAAGCATTAGACAGTCTAGGGGGCAAGTCCTGGTTTAGTGTCTTGGATGAGGGAAAGGCCTATCATAAGGGTTTTGTTGGAAAGAAAAGTCAGCCACTTACTGCCTTTGTTACACCTTGGGGATTGTATGAATGGGTACGGATACCCTTCGGTCTTATGAATGCGCCAGCGAACTTTCAGAGATTTATGGAGAACTGTCTTGGAGAGTTGCGTGAGGAGATGTGCATCCCTTACTTGGACGATGTGATCGTATTCTCAGAGACATTTTCTGAACACATTGAACATCTTCGTAAAGTTCTTCGCTGGTTGAAAAGTTATGGTGTAAAGCTCAAGCCTAGAAAGTGTTCATTGTTCAAACGGGAAGTGTCCTTCCTGGGAAGAGTTATCTCTCAAGACGGGTATCAGATAGATCCCAAAGCAACAAATGCTGTGACTGCGATGAAGAATTTACAACCGCGAACTGTTGGGGAAGTAAGAAGACTCATGGGCCTACTTGGTGTGTACCGTCGCCATGTCAAAAACTTTGCACAAATAGCAAGGCCAATTTATGACCTTCTTAACCATGACCTGCCGGGGAGGAAGAATGCTTCTTCGACCAGACAGAACACCAGGCTACGTAGTGGACAGCTACCACCTTCGTCACCAGTGGACTGGGGACCTCAACACCAGTCTGCACTGGATGCCTTAGTAGATAAAGTAACATCACCCCCTCTGTTGGCATATCCAGATTATAATGCCCCATTTATTGTACACACCGATGCATCACAGGATGGCTTGGGAGCTGTTCTCTACCAAAAACAGAATGGCTGTACAAGAGTTATCGCGTATGCATCTAGGACTCTCACCCCATCTGAGCGCAACTACCATATGCATTCGGGAAAGCTAGAATTCTTAGCTCTAAAATGGGCAGTGACAGAACAGTTTAGGGACTATCTCTATTATGCCCCTGAATTTGTGGTTTATACGGACAACAACCCGTTAACTTATGTTTTAACGTCTGCCAAGTTAAATGCCACAGGATTGAGATGGGTTGGAGAGCTTGCTGACTTCAACTTCGAAATACGGTATCGACCAGGCAAGTTGAACGTTGACGCCGATAGCCTTTCCCGATTGCCCAGTGACTTTAACACTTACATGGACAGTTGTACTGAGAGAGTTCCCCGTGAAAGCTTGAATGCCTCAATCTCTGCAATTCAGACATTGTCGAATGGAGACTCAACTTGGCTCACGTCCCTGACCGATGAAGAAGAGGAACTCTATCAGGTTGACTCTTTGTCACAAGCAGCCTGCAATCAAGTAACGGTGGTAGATTTAGTGAAAGCAGAGAGAGAAGATCCCCACATTGGGCGTGTCCTTACGTTTATCAAGACAAACCACAAACCGACGGTTGCAGAAAAGCACAAGGAACCACCTTTGACTCGTAAGCTCCTAAACGAGTGGTATAAACTCCATGTAAACAGGAAGAGTGGATTACTTTATCGCAACCAGCAGGTAGTTCTTCCACGGAAATTTCGTCGCACTGTTTACCGTGAACTCCATGAAGAAATGGGCCACCTCGGTTTTGAGAGAGTACTAGCACTAGCCCGAGAAAGATTTTATTGGCCACACATGAGAAGAGACAGAAAACTTCATCCATCACACATGCTGCTGTCTGAAACAGAGACGTCCTAATTTAACAACTAGGGAACCATTACAGCCTATCATCACAGCGGCTCCTTTCCAATTGGTTTCTATTGACTTTGTGCACCTAGATCGGAGTTCAGGGGGCTATGAATACATACTGGTTGTTGTAGACCATTTCACTAAATTTGCTCAAGCATACCCGACGAGGAATAAGACCGCTATTACGGCTGCCGACAAGATCTTCAATGACTTTATTCCTCGCTTTGGATTCCCTGAGAGGATCCATCATGACATGGGAGGCGAGTTTGAAAACCGGTTGTTCAAGAGGCTTGAAGAACTGTCTGGAGTAATGCACTCTCGGACTACTCCATATCATCCACAAGGAAATGGTTTGGTGGAAAGGATGAACCGTACACTACTCAGTATGCTGCGAACTCTCCCTGAAGCTCACAAACCTAGCCGGAAGGACCATGTACACAAACTCATTCATGCATACAATTGCACTATTCACGAGTCAACAGGTTATTCTCCTTTTTTTCTGTTGTTTGGTCGGAGTCCTCGTCTGCCGATTGATGTAATCTTTGATCTCGAAGCTGAAACAGGGGCCAAGTCACATGCGGAGTATGTTACCAAGTGGAAATCTGCGATGCAAGAAGCTTACTCACTCGCGTCCAAATCTGCTACGAAGAGTGCCATGAGAGTGAAAAGAAATTATGACAAACGAATGAGATCATCAGCGCTGCAAGTGGGAGACCGTGTCCTGGTGCGCAACCTTACTCCTCGTGGTGGGCCCGGAAAACTCCGTTCCTTTTGGGAAGATAAGATTCATGTAGTCGTTGCGAGAAAGGGTGAGGGAAGCCCAGTGTATGATGTGAGACCAGAATCAAGTCAAGGACCAAGCCGTACTTTACATCGAAACCTCTTACTTCCTCGTGATTATCTGCCAGGGAAACCATGGGAAGACCCCCCTCCTATAAAGAGGACAAGACCACCAACACCCTACCATTGCCGTGAAATCCAGCCATTAAGACATGAAGATGACAGCCACGAAAGTGACAGCGATGACGATCTTCCAGCCATTTCATACTGTAACCATTCACCAGAAAATGACCAAATGCAGATGCAGGTACAGTCTACAAGCGAGGAAACGGTGGGTGAAGAGCCAGACTTCACACCTGTGCATTCAGGTGAGGTGTCAAGTGAAATGCGCAAGGGAGCTCACATTGCTGACACTCCTGATGAGGCACAGTTGAATGAAGAACCTCAAGTAGTCAGTGGGGAGGTGGACAATTGCGAGGATACCAACAACCCAGGTCGACCCCAACGTGTGAGGCAGGCACCTAAACGACTCACTTATGACAGTCCTGGGGCGCCAACTTATGTGCGGCCTATCAATGTTAAACCATCCGGAGGGACACCGTATTGTGGAATGCAGACATCACCAGAGCCTTACATTCCCAAACTTCCAGCGGACCAGTACAGTACGCTGCCACCAATCTTGAGTTATATTCCTCCACCGGTACCACCTATGATGCCCTGGAACCCGAGCGTGATGTTGCCTTATATGATGCCCTATCCATCAGGACCGCAGTTGCTACAATGGGGAGCGCGTTATCAGTTGTTTCAGTACAGATAAACAGTGACCTTGTTTTTTTTTTGTCCATAACCTTGTAAAAAAAAAGAGATTTCCTTGGTGTATTTAAACATTCGTTGTGTGGATGCTGTAAACGCTATCTTGAAATAGTCGTCGTATTACAGAATCGTGAACATTAGTATGGACAGACAAGCTGAGACGTAAATTAAGTGGTTTGTAAGGAGCTGGGCCTGATCACCCCACTCCAGGATTTAACAAGCAAGAAATCCAAAACCGCAAACTACTGTTGTAAAAGGGACTATTCTGTATTACATGCTAAATGTCACGGATGACGTTTCTTTTTTTAAGTTAGGGAGGAGTGTTAGGCATAGAAATTTCATTGTTAAAAGCATTTGTATTTAGTGCCAGGCGTCCGTGCGCCTAAGGACTGGAAACCATATATGACGCTTTGATGACGTAAGAGAAAAACCATGTGCGAAAGAAAGCTAGAAAAGTAATCGACGTTACGAACTCGAGAGTTGTAAAAGTTAAGGAAATTTATGAGCAAAATACACGTGGGATACTCTCAAGCAGTGTTTATATCCTGTGTAACACAATGTTTCAAGATGTTTCGATTTCATTACCTCGTCACGAAGTAACGCCACAAAGGACCAGACGAAACTGGAGCAACAAATCTGGACTAAAGCACCTGACGGACGTGTATGTAACATTTATTCACTATCTTTTATCCTTGTTGGGTCTTGTTTCACCTACAAGTTGGACCGATCGAAGTTTTGAACTAACTCTTTTGCTCCTTGTGTTTACTCAAGCGTTCCATAAAATATCTATCCAAACGTCCATAAATAACACAGAAAACATGCCTCAGGTGACACGTTCTAACAACTCCGCTATTAGTATCGATAATGACGCATCTGATTTGTGACTTCTCGTCAACTTTGTGCTATTTTTGTTCAAAAAAACGAATGTTACGTTTCTTCCAATTTTGGTCCAATGACAAATAAGCGTTAAGTCAGATGTACATAATACGTCATTATTGGTAAAGTATGAGATTGCCCAAATATTTTATGATTGATTTGATAACCTTAAAGATGTCTTTCAAAGAATATGTGAGAATTAAGTACATAGGTTGTTGCTCATGGGAGATGTTAGCCACTAAAATCCCTTAAATTTAGGGTTTGGTCAAAACAGTGAGAAGATGTCCTTACTTTAGGCTAAATAACAGGAAGAGATCGAATTAGAGAGTAAAAATAAATTACTGAGCATTACGTTTGATAAACATAGAAGATGATAAAGTTGAT